GCAATCGCTGCAGCTCTCAGAAGCAGAAAAGGCGTGTCCGTCTCCCCCCCCCAGCAAAAGGGCTTCCCCCCGCCCCCAGCGAAAAGGTTTCTCAAAGGCTTAAAAGTTTCAGGAGAAAATGGTCCCTGGGATGGGAGGCGGAGGGGAGAGGTACGTGTTCCCTAGAAATCAGCAGGCGCCTACCCTCTGCCATTCCTAAACAGCAAAGCCTCATTTGGGGCTCTCAGATCCCTCATTATTTTCCTTTTCGCCTGCTAAACAAAGAAAGGGGAACAGATCGCGCCCCGATAAAATAAATGCTCCTCGTTATTCTAACCGACTGCACCCATGAAGAGCGGAGAGGGGAGTTTTTCACTTTGCAGAGGAGGAGAAAAAAAAAAAAAACTACAGTGAGGGCAGGGTGGCTGCCGTGGCTTTCCCAGCGCTGCAGCCTCCCGGTGATCCCCCGTTCGTGCCGAGGGCTCTCTGCAAACCCCGCTCCCCTCCGCTCCTAAGTCCAGCTCGAAACTGCAACAGGATACCACAAATTTGCTGTTTATTATATCGAGCGGTCGGCATTCAGCAATCTCAACTTAAAAGGAAACACATGACTTTGCAACATGTAAGAGTGTTTAATACTCGCCGAGGCTTTCGCGCAAAAACTTTTGACCACAATTAACAGAGAAAACTTCGGGAAAGCAGTAAAATGGGCGAGGGGATTTTTTTTTTTTCCTCCTTGCTGCTTTTAGGTTTGGGGTTTTTTTTTTTTCTTGAGCCTTTAGCCTGCAACTAAGTGCTCTGCAAGTAGATGAAGCTCCAGCAAGGCAGCTGAAGGCCATCTAAGAAGACTTTTCAGGAGTGGCTTCCTCGAGTAATTCTCCTGGCAAATCACACGCGAATTGTTTGGGAGGTTTCTAAGAGAGTCCCTGAGCAAAACACCCGGGTGCGAAGGGGGTTTTCTCCCTACGTGTCATCACAGCAATAGGTAGAGTTGTAAAAGAGCGCGGACGTCAATGAGTAGCGAATACAGAGAGGGATTTCGGATGGGTAAACCCATAAAAACCCAACGCCGAGCGCGGACGCGCCGTGCGTGTCCATTCATTCCCACGCGAAGGTTATATAAATACAGGGACAGGCAGCGCGGAGCTGCGGAGCCTTCCCTGCCGCGACAGCAGCGGCTGCAGGACCGCCGGCTGCTTTTGGCAGCTTTTTCTGCGTTTCCAGACACAGTTAGCCAGCACAAATCCACACCTCGATCCCAGCAGAGAGACAGGCACAAGCGAAGCAACCGATGAACTGAACCTATCCGCCCTCCCGAAGCTCCCGCCTCACCAGCAGCGATACGCCGCTCCAAAGAATTTTTCCTTTATTCCCCCTTCTCCTCCCTAAGGAAGAAAAACTACGCGTAGCAAGGCTGAACTCAGGCCAGCTCCTTCTCCACCCCCAATTTATTTTCTTTCTG